CCCTCAGACTTCAAACCCTAAATCCCTAAACTCCGAACCGTAAACTACAAATTCCTAAACCCTCAACCCAAACTAACCCAAAGCCTCAAATCCTGCGGCAAGGCCTGGCTTCAGCGCCTCGCCGCCGTCCACGAGGCCACAGCTTGCCCGAGAGCTTTGGCCCTTGGTCTGCAACTTTAGGGTTTAGTATAGGGCCCTCTAAAATTACCAAAACTATTTTAGGGGTTCCTTATTTCAGGTATAGTCTTGTGGGACTCGAAACCCTGTTCTAATTATTAAGGCCCCTACCTGAGGGTTTAAGGTTTAAGGTTTTACGGTTTAGGGCGGGTCTGCAACTGGAGGGAGGGATTGCTCACGCGCTGGAACGCGAGGAACTCTGGCGGTTTAGGGGTTAGGGTTTTAGGGTTTATAAGGTTTGGGGTTTGGGGTTTAGGGTTTAGGGTTTTAGGGTTTATATAAGGGTTCAAGGGTGTATGGTTTAGGGTTTGGGGTTTAGGGTTCAAGGGTTTAGGAGCAAAGCTCCGCCGAAGCCTCCTCCAGCCTGACGGATGTTATCCCACAATGTAGGACCAGCCTGATTAAGAAACCCTGGGCCAATAACCCATATGGGAGTTTCCGAAAATAGGGGACCCTAATATAGTATCCTAAATAGTAGGATCCTTATTATAAGGACCCCCAAAATAAGGTACCCTAATTTTCGGAAACTCCCATATAAGGAGCCCTACTTGAAACCTAAAGTTTCTTTACCAGGTTCCTATAATGTCGTATCTGTGCCCCAGAGTTGTCACCATGCCGGCGAGACGGGCTGTATTGGTTCACATGGCCTATGGTACGTGAAGAGGGCTACCTGGTAGCTGAGTAGCCTTCCAAAGCTGTGCGGTTGGGCAAGCGACACGCAAGATCTCTTGGTCTTCGTCTGCTCGTGAAGTTGCAGGTAAAGGTCACCTGGAAGGGTTCCTTTGAGGGTTCCTTTAAGTGGTTCCTTGAAGGGCTCCTTTAAGCCTTTCAGGGTTTCTTTAAGGGCTTCTCAATTCCCGTCCGGCGGGCGCGCAGTGCGCGCGTCGGGAGGTCGCTCCGGCATTTTCGCCTCAAGGTTCCTGAGTTGCCCTTACTATACTAGGATGCCCAGTAGTACCCTTATTTCCTTTTTGTAGTCCTAGGTTCCTTATAAAGTTACCCAATACCAAAAAGGGAGGCCTTTTTATTGCTAGGTTACTGGGCATCCTAGTATAGGGGCCTAAACAATTACCTATACTATTTTGGGGGGTTCCTTATTATACCTTCCGAAGCATGTTGGGCCCCAAGACACCATTCCAATTATTAAGGCCCCAAATATGAATCCCAGCAGACAGCGACATCCGTAGTCGAGCTCCGCACAACACCAGGATGAAGCCGTTTCCTACAAGACCCACAAGCCTCTGATTGAAATGGGGCTCGGAATAGATCGAAACAATGCAGAATGATGCCCCTGTATTGCTTTTGTATGAACTTACTATGATAGGCACCAAACCATGAACTGAATTCTTCAGGCCGCTATACTAAAACCTTATTTACCCCTGCAGAACCCTTGTGGAAGCCTATTCTACTTGCTAAGGCTGCATAAACAGGAACCCTTTACAGGAACAGGCCCCCTAAGCTCTAGACCTTGAAACGAAAGGCCTTTAAGGAACCCTTCCAGGAACCCTAAAAGCTAGTGCATGAAGGCCGTTCCATGTGAAGTCTCTTACCCTGAGGATCGGGAATACAGTGGCACCCTAAACCCTAAACCCCTAAACCCCTAAACCCCTAAACCCTAAACCCTAAACCGTTGTGCGAACAGACCTCACCCCTAAGCCTGAACCTCAAGGCTGCGCACCTCGGGAAACCCTTAAGAGAACCCCCAGCAGGCCCTCATAAAGTCACCTTGAAACTTATCCATACCTGTGACGTTTCCTTGGAGCACTGTCAGCATGCTTGAACAGATCCTAAAGCCCTAAAGCCCCAAAATTTCTAAACCCTAAACTCTTAGCCTTAAACCCAAAGCCCGGAAGCCTAAACCTTAAAGCCTTAAACCACTGACACAAAGAGCCCTAAACCCTAAACCCTAAACCCTAAATCCTAAACCCTAAACCCTAAACCCTTGTCAGACGCTGCTTCGCGCCCTGGGCTTCCAGAGCCTGGACCCGGGCAGTTGCTGGGACGAGCCGCTATGCCTCGAATGGTGTTTTCTTCTTTAGGTTTTAGTTTATAGGGTTATAGGGTTATAGGGTTATAGGGTTTAGAGTTCAGGGTTATAGGGTTATAGGGTTATAGGGTTATAGGGTTTAGGGTTTAGGGTTACAGGGTTTAGGGTCCAGTCGCTTCGCAGCGGTTTGTCTCCACCAGGCTTACAGTGTCTTTGCAGAGGTGTTGTGGGGGTTGCAAGGTACCTATAAAGGCATCTTTCAGGGTGTACCGGGTTTCTGCTGTAGGGGTTGAGAGTTCCTGGTTTTGGGGATCGAGGTTTGGTTTCGGGTTTAGGGCTCAGGGTGAATATATGATTTGTGGGATAGTTTTTTTTTTTTGTTTATCGCGTGGGAGGGTTGTTTTTTTTGGGTAGGAAGCCCATTGTTGGATATCTGTGCCTCTGTACCTTTGCCGGTATCCATGAATGGCATGTTGTGTCTGCAAGTGTATACCCATGCTTGTATGCGGCAGCTATTCGTTTGCTTGAACTAGCTATCAACTCATCTCTCTGTCCATTCTGCAACCAGTCAACCAAACTATCCATGCGGATCTGTCCATCCATCTGAGTGCACATACATGCACATAGCCATACATTCACGAAGCAGTTCATATTGCGGCATAAGCTTTTCTAGTCTGCACATTTGTTTAGGTGCGTAAAGATATATACATGCATGAGTTGTGGATGGATAGACACAAGATGTAGTGTCATTAACCTGCAATGCCCCGCGGGAAGGTGTTGAAATACACAGAAGACTGCAGAGTAGGCATGTTGCAGACAAGCAGATGTGAGATCGTCCGATGAATGAAACGCTGCAGACTAACAGAAAGTACGATCGGATACCGTCGATTAGCATGATAGTCTTCTAGACCAAGCTTGGTGCCTATGTACATCTGTAGAGAAAACACGACTATAGTGTTGAAACCTTGGAGCCAAAAGAGTAGCGCCTACATGAGCCCAACAAGCCCAAACCTGAAAATCCAGGAAGATGTTCACTTTCGCGGCCTGCTGCAGTGTCGGTGAGAATCAGGAACGACGGTAATAGTATTTTCAGTGTAGGGTTCAAAGGTATGACTATAGTTCTCTTTAGCTTTGCCATCGTTGTTGCTTTGGGTTCGGTTTATCGTGATTGCTAATGGCAGTGGTGCTTAAGTTCTTGTTTTGGTGCTGATTTGTCGCTGTTACTTTGGAGCCGGTGTGTTTGCACTTTCAGCTTCTATTGCTGCCGTTTTCATACCCTAAACCCTAAACCCTGAACGCTGAACCGGGTTTGAGGAAACTTGTGGACGGGCCGCAGAACCTATTAAACCAGCGGGTTTCGGTTCCCTTGCGCTTTTGGGGTTTTTAGAGTATAGGTTAGAAGGGGCCCCCACCCTGTAATCGTGGTACACTAGGAATACAACAGGGCCCGACTGTAATCCATGTAGTCACTATTACAGGGTGGGGGCAGCTTCTAGAGTAGAGGGTTCAGGGCTCAAGGTTTGCGAGCAGCCCACATGCCCAAGCCCTAAAGCCTTAAGCCTTAGAGCCTAGAGGCTTTTGCGGTCTAGGGTTCAGGGTTTAGGGGTTTAAGGTTTAGGGGTTTAGGGTTTAGGGGTTTAGGGGTTTAGGGTTTAGGGTTTAGGGTTTAGGGGTTTAGGGTTTAGGGTTTAGGGGTTTAGGGGTTTAGGGCTTAGGGTTTAGGGTTTAGGGGTTTAGGGTTTAGGGTTTAGGGGTTCAGGGTTTAGGGTTCAGCGTTTAGGGGTTCAGGGTTTAGGGGTTTAGGGTTTAGGGCGCAAAATCCCAAACTGAAACCATGCACACCTGCAAGCTTCTTTTCTTGTGCAGAACTGGTGCCACTGAGCTCTGGAAACAAGAAATCCTTCCTTCCTGTGCCTTCTGCTTGTTGCGTAGTGCTTAGGTTTTAGACACGAAGCCCTAAACCCTAAACGAACTTGGACCCAAAACCCTAAACCCTACACCCTAGACCCTAAGCCCTCACCCGGAACCCTAAACCCTAAACCCTAAACCCAACCCTCTGAGTTTTTGGAGGAGAACTGCTGGCATGGTGGGTACTCGGAAGAGAGGCCTCCGTTTTGGAGCTATCGGCACAAGAGTTCTGTTGCGGGTGGTAGCTTCGCTACTGGTAGGACTGCGACGATGCCGGCGATGATGATCTCGATGATGGGATTTTATTTCCGCCTACATGTTGCCACTATTGCCAGAGATGATGCTGATGTGATGACTTCTGATAATCGTGATTAGAGCTGACAGCTTAGACCCTCAAGGGCAGGGATACCAAGACTGGAGTTTGCAGAAGGGGGAGGAGCCCTAAACCCGAAGCCCTAAACCGAAACTCTGAGCCCGAAACCTTAAACCCTAAACCGGTGTCGGCACCTAAGCTTAAGGTTAAAGTCGTGGGTTCGAGAAGAGTATGCAGCTTAGTTCCTTGACAATAAATATTATTGGGCATCACTGTAATTTTCAATGCAAAACCATTGATGTGTATTTGATATCACTTGCTTTGTCCTGTCTTTGGCTTTGGAAGTTGCCTCATGTTTGTGGCTGAGATTTCCAAGCAAGTTGCAAACCCCTGATGAATAAACGCCGTTTCTGCAAGGGTTGTGGCATTACGACCTTGATTATGACCTTCACATGGAAGGGGGGCTTGCTGATCAGGGTTCTATTGTAGAGTCACATGATGCCCGGCGCCGCTTTGTCGATTCGGGAGTCTGACTTGCGGCTTGCGGCGGCGTTCTTGCTCAAGAAAGCCTTAATCATAATGTTTGTGCGGCTCGTCGCCTAGGGCAGGGTGGCAATGCCGGGCCCGCCGTCGGATAATCTGTTCGTGCCCCTGGGTGAGAAAGCTTCGGCGATTTAGGGTATTTAGGGCTTGGGGTTTAGGGTTTAGGGCTTGGGGATTTTTCGTGCTAGCATTGCTTAAAGGTTAAGGACTAGGATGCCCAGTAGTACCCTTATTCCCTTTTTGTAGTCCTAGGTTCCTTATAAAGTTACCCAATACCAAAAAGAGAGGCCTTTTTATTCTTAGGTTACTGGGTATCCTACCCTAAACCCTAAACCCTAAACCCTAAACCCTAAACCCTAAACCCTAAACCCTAAACCCTAAACCCTAAACCCTAAACCCTAAACCCTAAACCCTAAACCAAGAGGATCTCTGGAGACCCCGAACCACCGAAACTCGAAACTCGAAGACCGAACCCAGGGACTTCCACATCCCTTACTTAGAGGATCATGGGGCTAAGAAACCCTAGGATTCCTTTAAAGGGCTCCTTTTTAAGGGATCTATAAGTCTATAAGGGTTCTATAAGGGGGGGAGTTTGGGGTACTTAGAGGATCATGGGACTTAGTAAGTAGGTTATAATTGGGGTTATAAGTCCCCTAAGTGGGGTTATCCTAATTATAACCTACTTATAAGCTTACTTACTAAGTCCCATGAGCCTTCAAGTAATCAAGGAGCATTCCTTAAACTTATATTAGGCATACTTTTCTCGCTTAAGGTCTATTCCTTAGTTAAGGGATAGTGGAGTCCCCTAAACCCTAAACCCTATAGATCCCTTATAGATCCCTTTTAGGAACCCCTAGCTCCGAGGCTTAATTAAGGGATCGTGGAGATGATGGGAATGAAGACCGGAAACCTGTAAGACGAAAGGCTTCCAATCCAGAACCCAGAGAGCCCAATATCCCTTAGTTAAGGAATATGCCTTAAATCATATCAGGGATCCTACTATAATTTAAGCGATATTCCTTAATTAAGGGGTATTGGGCTTTATGGGAACCCAAAGACCCCCCCCCCCCCCCCGTATGCAGGAACCCAAGAGGCCTAAACCCGAAAATTTTAGAGTATCCTTGTAGTATCCCCTAAACCCTAAACCCCTAACCGTTATCCTTAATGGAGCCTTATGTAGGACGATTAATGACCCTAAACCTGACCCCCTAAACCCTAATTTTAGGTCGGGGCTCCCGACGGACTGCACCTTGGAGCAGGTGGGTAGTTCTCTATGCCCTAAGCGGTTTAGGGCTTTTAGGATTTGGGGAGCTATAGGACTTAGGGTTTAGGGAATTAGGCTCCAAGAGAGTTTGAGTTTAGGGAGTAGAGCTTGGGGCAAGAGTTTAGGAGGCAGGCTCTAGTCTTATAGTATAAGCATCTAGATAGGGGTTACTGTTGATGGACAAAATCCTGCATTGCCCTTTAGAAGGAATAAACCATAGTTCCCATAGTTTAGAGTCCTTAGGGTCATGCAGGATTTTGTCCATCAGCAGTATCAATGGAATATTGCTATTTCTCATTTCTTCGTCAACCCTTTCGAAGACCTGCTTAAACTTAGGCTCTGGGGAGTCGCGGAGTTTAGGGTTTGAGGTTCGGGGGTTTAGGGTTTAGGGTTTAGGGGGTTTAGGGTGTAGGTTTAGGGTGTAGGTTTAGGGTTTAGGGTTTAGGGTTTAGGGTTTAGGGTTTAGGGTTTAGGGGTTTAGGGGGTTTAGGGGGTTTAGGGGGTTTAGGGTGTAGGTTTAGGGCTAGTGTTTCGGCGTTTAGGGTTTCAGGCCGTCAGTTCGAACAGCCCAATACCGAAGCCCCGACACTCCTACATACCGTCTTTGGGCAGAAACGGAAGCCACTTCAGTTCGATCGGCGGAAATCCCAGAATTCCCATGATGACACATATTAGCCCTTACCCTAAACCCGAAACCCTAAACCTTATATCCCGAACCCTCACCCTAATCCTAAACCTCAAATCCTAAACACTAAACCCTAACTCTAAACCCTACTTGGAGGATCATGGGACTTAGTAAGTAGGTTATAATTGGGGTTATAAGTCTCCTAAGTGGGGTTATCCTAATTATAACCTACTTATAACCTTACTTACTAAGTCCCATGAGCCTTTAAGTACACCCTAAACCGACTCTTTTAATGGGACCCTCATTTCGAGAACACCCCGAGCAGGTGAAGGCAGTTTTCAGCCAGTATGGTACCGTCAAAGAAGCCAAGGTCCCTCCCTGTCGCGCTTGGGTTTATCCAAGGGTAAAAGGAGGGACCCTTAATAAGGACCCCTAGGTATATACCCTTCATATAGCTATTATGTACCCATTATATAGCCCATTATAGGGTAGGGGTCCCCATTAAGGGTCCCTACTTTTCCCCTTTGAGTTTAGGGTGTCACGTTTGGGTTTCGGGTCTAGGGTTTAGGGTTCAGGGTCTAGGGTTTTCGGGTTTGGGGGGTTATAGGGTTTACAGGTTTAGGGTTTAGGGTTTGGGGTTTAGGGTTTAGGGTTTGAGGGTTGGTGTGTAGGTTCTTGTAGGGATTTATGAGCAATATAGATACGTGCTCGATATGTTCATACATGTCTTGTAGAACAATGTGTATTTATAGCATGGTTATTGTCAATCCTCTTCTTATTAAAGAGCGCAGCTTTTCGGCATTCGTTTTCGGTTGTTTTGAGGGCTTAGTGACTTAGTGTTTCAGTTTTGAGGTTTACGGATTGCAGCTCCTTGCTTAGAGGATCATGGAACTTAGTAAGTAGGTTGTAGTTTAGGGTGATAAATCCCCTAAGCGGGGTTCTCCTAGTTATAACCTGCTTATAACCTTACTTACCAAGTCCCATGAGCCTTTAACTAGGGTTTAGGGTTTGGGGCAGAAGCGGGGCCGTGGAAAAGGGCTTCGGTTTTCATGCCACTGCACCTCTGCAAGGTTGTATAACCTACTTACAACCTTTATAACCTTACTTACTAAGTCTCCAAGTCCCATGAGCCTTTAAGCTTGGTTTTGAGCCGAGGTTCTCCCGGTCTCACCTGGCAAGACAACGGCGGCGGCCTTCGTGAACATGGGCAGCGTGGCCGAAGCTACCTGGATCCTCGAGAACGTGAGTGGCAACGTTCCGCAAAATCTCACCAGTCCGGTGAACATCTCCTACGCCTTGCCTAAGGCAGAGAAGGGCTTCGGTAAGGGGAAAGGCATGATGGACGTCATGTCGATGATGATGGGCTTTGGAGGGGATGGCGGAGGTTGGGGCGGTGGTGGCGGCTGGGACAGCAGCGGCTGGGACAGCGGCTACGACAAGGGCAAGGGCAAGGGCTGGGATAGTGGTGGCAAGGGCGGCAAGGGCTGGGATAGCGGCAAGGGCTGGGATAGCGGTGGCAAGGGCTGGGATAGTGGCGGCAAGGGCTGGGATAGCGGCAGCAAGGGCTGGGATAGTGGCGGCAAGGGCTGGGACAGCAGCGGCGGCAAGGGCTGGGACAGTGGCGGCTGGGGCAAGGCAGGAGGAAAAGGTAAGGTTGCTCCTGATCCAATCGCTGCGGTAGCCAAATTTGCTCAGGAATCCTGGGAGAAGAAGGGCGGCAAGGGCAAGGATGCCACGACTACGAGCGGAAGCCCTTGGACGGTCACGAAGGTCGGTAGTGGCAAAGGTGTCATGGACGTTTGTGCTCACGGATCGGAAATGTATGGCGGCTGGTCCATGCCATGCTGTAGTCCCTGGTAGTTCACCTTGCTGGTTGTGCTTTGAGTTATGGCAAACTATATATGCACTTACACACACACACACACACATGAGAGATATACATATAAATCCAAGAATGTATATATATATATATATATATCTGCACAGGTTTGTAGCTACACATAAACAAACACATAACGACTTCATGTGCTTGGAGTTTTGGAGCCCAGGAACCAGATGCGTTTCCTACCAATCAGCATCCGCTGCGCGGATGAGGGGTGTGTCTGTGCTGGACGCGAGAGCCAGCCGGCGGGAGCATTTGGAGCGGAAGCGCAAGGTTCCAACTTGTTTTATGAAAGAGAGGCGTCAAACAAAGGCTTGGTAGTCGAGTAGATATCCGTTTTGGGTGGCCTAACCTGTGCACAGTGTAAACAGGTTCGCTTGCATTTACCCAATGCAACTGGGCAAGTAATAACAAAGTAGGGTACTTAATGAATCATGGGATTTAGTAAGTAGGTGGGGATATCCTAATGCTAACCTACATATAACCTTACTTACTAAGTCCCCTTAGCTTTTTAGTACAGGTTGAAGCAGCATAGATTGAAACGGCAGTAAATCGTAAAGTCCCGTCCGCCGGCGAGCTTGGGCTTCAAGACATCATGGAAATACTACAGGGGCCGAAATAATTACCAAGACTATTTTGGGGGCTCCATATGTCAATCATAGTATAATTAGAGGACCCAAAACCCTGTTCCAATTATTCAGGCCCCCTATGGTTGCAGCTTTGAACCCCGCGCTCCAAGTTCCTCCCACATCTCCCTCAGTCTTTACCTGATCTACACAGGAATTTGAATAACCCGCTATAGGGTTTAGGGGGCTGGGAGTTTAGGGTTTAGGGTTTGGGGCTTAGTGTTCAGGGTTTGGGGCTTAGGGTTCAAGGGTTTGGGGTTTAGGGTTTAGGGTCTCTAAGCCCAATCCTAAAAACCAAACCCTAAGCCCTAAACCCTACAGCCTCAACCCTCGATGGATTGTCATTCTGCTAGATGGGTCTAAGAAAACTGCCAAAACTGTTCCCGAGGGTTCCATTTTATAATCAATCATACTACAAAACCGTTGTAGGGGCTCCTCACTATCGTTACGGTGTTATATACCCCCAAACCCTATTCAAAGTTTAATCAGGCCCCACATGATACTGACGTCCAGCTGCTCCCGCCGCACTCCCCGGATGCATCTAACCGCTCTGCGAAGCTGCAAAACACTGTGGCTCTGGGTTTAGGGTTTAGGGTTCAGGGTTTATGGTGTACGGTTCAGGTTTCAGTTTGTAGGGTTTGTAATCATTTCTGCTGTTTTGTTTTCCATCGTTGTCGCCATCATCGACATCATAGCACCACAGTCAAGTACACTGTGAAAGTGTGCTACCAAGCCTTTTGCACGGATACCGCTTGCTGCACAACCCAAGACGCCAGTGTCACTGCCATCCCCGTTATCCTGCATCTTGCACAGCTGTCTCGGCTTGCTAAACCTTGACACCCTTAACCATAGAACCCTGATGCCCTTAATATAGGGGCCTAAACCATTACCCATACCATTTTTGGGGGATCCTTCTTATAAATATAGATTAGTGGGCCCCAAAACCCTGTTCTCATTATGGCCCCTATAGTAATCCTAGAAGCTCGAAGCCTCAAGTCTGTCATCCTAGACACGAAACCCATAGCTCCAACACCTCACCCCCAAAAGCGCTTAGCCCTCAGCCTCTTGATCCTCAAACCCTAAACCCTGCAACCCTCAGCCCTGAAACCCTAACCTAAAACAGGAACACTCACACCCCGAACCCAGAGGGTCCATCTACACGACCATTATGGAATTAGGCCCTCAAAGACCATCCCCATGATGGTTTCGGGGGGCCAAATTCCATAGTAGTAGTGTATATGGGTGGTTGTCAAAATTAGGGTCCCTTTTTAGGTCCTTATTATCATACGGCACCGAATATTTAGGGTACCCAAAAAGGGGCCATAATTTTGACAACTACCCATGTATAATACCCTATCCTCATTATTAGTATCCCTTTATAAGGAGCCCTTTACAATCCTTTTAAGGATCCCCTATTTTTGACAACTACCCATGTGGACCCTCTGGGGAAGTCTAACACCCCAGGTCCTTCTCCCAGAGGCCCTCAAGCCCTTTCGTCCTTACGCTTAACTTCCGGGTCTCGGGTTCAGGGTTTGGGGATTAGGGTTTGGGGGTTTGGGTTTAGGGTTCAGGGGTTGGGGTTTAGGGTGTAGGGTGTAGAATTTTGGGTTTTAGGTTCGGGGGTTGGGGTTTGGGGGTTTGGGTTTAGGGTTCAGGGGTTGGGGTTTAGGGTGTAGGGTGTAGAATTTTGGGTTTTAGGTTCGGGGGTTGGGGTTTGGGGGTTTGGGTTTAGGGTTCAGGGGTTGGGGTTTAGGGTGTAGGGTGTAGGGTTTTGGGTTCGGGGGTTGGGGTTTAGGGTTTAGGGTTTTAGGGATCTAGGGTTCAGGGGTTAAGGTTCAGGGGTTAGGGGTTTAGGGTTCAGGGGTTAGGGTTTCGGGTTTAGGGTTTAGGGGTTTAGGGTTCAGGGGTTCGGGTGTAGGGTTCAGGGTTAGGGTTTAGGGTTTGGGGTTTAGGGTTCAGGGTTTCCCTTAAACCTCAAACTCAAAAACCCTGGAATAATCTGAAATTGGAACCTGCCTCACCCTTAACTTTTGGTGGGCTCATCGAATCGCCAGATTGGAAGTTCCAATTCAACATGGGGCTCAATGTAAGGACCCCGAAACTGGCTACCACCCCTAATTGTTAGGAGGTTCCTAAAACCTCTAGCGAACACTTGTGAACTACCAAAACAACCTGCAAGCCCCTGAACACACATCAAAACCTTTGTAATGCGCAATATTGAAGCCTGAAGAATTCCCATATGATTCCTTTGGGTTCCCTTATTATACGTATACCATAACGGAGCCCAAGATACTCTAATCGTTAAACCCTAAACCCTTAAGGCCCCTAAACCTTAATCCCTAAGCCCTAACCCTAAGCACCTAAATTCTCAACCCTCATGGCCCCTAAACCCTTAAGGCCCTTAAACGCTCAAGGCCTCCCCTAAACCCGTCAGGCCCCTACCCCTACTTAAAGGCTCATGGGACTTAGTAAGTAAGGGCTTAGGGTTCCTTTTAAGGGTACTATAGGGTTCTATAACAAGGGTGAGGGTTTAGGGTCTACTTAAAGGCTCTTATGGGACTTAGTAAGTAAGGTTATAAGCAGGTTATGATTAGGATAACCCCACTCAGGGGACTTATAACCCCAATTATCATCTACTTACTAAGTCCTCATGATCCTTTAAGTACCCAAACATTCACAGCCAGCCTTTCAGGTGCTGCCAGCCCCTCTCCGCGCCAGAGCTGCAGACCTCCGAGGTGGGTCCTGAAAAGGATATGGGAGTTTCCTAGAATTAGGGGACCTTACTTGGGGTTCCTTAGAATAAGGATCCTATTATATAGGGTACTATATTAGGGCCTTCAATTTTCGGAAAATATTCTTGTGTAAGGTTCTTTCAAGGGCATCTTACTACACAGGTTCCCTTAAGAGGATCTAGGACGGATCTGCTCAGGGCTTAGGGATTGTTTTCTACGTTTATTGAGGGTTTTATGTCTTGTATGAGAATTTTGCAGGGTTTTTTTAAATGACCGGCGTCCGTGGGTTTTCAATCTACATAGGGTTTGGGGTTTAGGGTTTAGGTAGGTTTATGAAAGCGTCAGGGCGGGTTCCTAGATTGAGGCTCCTCTTCTTTTGGATCTCGAATGAGGCCTTTTTCCGGATTAAAGGCTTATGGGCATTAGTAAAACTTAGGGTCCCTTTTAAGGGTGCTGTAGGGTTCTATCATAGGGTTCTCTTTAAGGATAAGGCCTTACTTAAAGGCTCATGGGACTTAGTAAGTAAGGGCTTAGGGTTCCTTTTAAGGGTACTATAGGGTTCTATAACAAGGGTGAGGGTTTAGGGTCTACTTAAAGGCTCATGGGACTTAGTAAGTAAGGTTATGAGTAGGTTATAATCAGGATAACCCGACTTAGGGCCCCAATGATAACCTACTTACAAAGTCTCGTCGCGGTGCTGCTCTGGGCATTCGGTGAAGAACATTCGGTGAAGAAAATTCGGTGATGTATGGTGACAAGGTTTTCCGGTGTTGGTATGTTGCTAACGGCTTTGACTTAAATATGTTGTGGCTTTGTAGCAAATATTCCCTGTCTTGTCTGCGCTTGCTGTATTACGTATTGCCGATGCTCATTGTTCGTATCATCATAGCTTTCGGATCTTTCTAGCAAAGCAAATGCATCTTTAAATGTCTCCAGCAGCCATGATGCTCTTGGTTTACCAGGACGTCTATATTCAAGTCTAGGCCTGTTTGTATATGGATCTAACATGACTTGTTTCATAGGGTCTTTCGAATCAGTCCTCAATATGTGTCCCAGTAGTCTTACCTTTCTTGTCATCCATGTTAGGGAAAACTTTTCAATTGGATGGCGGTGTTCAGTTCGCAGGATATCTAAAACTTTCTGATTCGTGAAAGTACGGTCAACAAAAGTGGGAGGGATCTTTAGGATTCGGCGAAGTCCTTTCATCTGAAAAGCATTCAATTTATTTAAGTCAGGTTGTGTCAGCTGTATGCATTCAAGCCCATAGAGTACCTTGCTTTTCAAAATTGAATCGAACACCCTTAGCTTCCATTTCACTGTGTTTTGAGCCTTGTTCCAAAAAAGTTTTAGTCTATTGCATGTGACAGTGGCATCTGCAATGCGATTACAAACCTCTCGGTGATTATCCACCGTGTCTGTCAGTATTGAGCCTAAGTATGTGGCTTCATGTTTGCGCGGAACAAGTGACCCATTCATATATTTAACACTGGATGTTCCTTGATTCAGGGTAAGGTTGATGCATTTGTCGTAATTCAAGCTCATGTTATAGTACCTGGATTCAGCTTGAACTGCGTGTAGCAGCTTGTTTATTGTATGAGTATGGGTTCCGAAAAGTAGCGTGTCGTCTGCGTATAAAATTTCTGCGAATTCTATTCCAGGTAAGGGCTCTCTCTGCTTTGGAGTGTTTAGCTTGGCTTTAATATCCTTGAACATATTAGCTGCACTTATCAGTTTCTCGGAAATATATAAGACCTTCTACAGGCACACAATACAAGCTTCATGATATTCCCCTCATACGTCTCTTTATGTCACAGGCAGATTAATTGTTTAAAGTGTGGACTGCACTCTGTCTGTTTCACTTCTTCGATGCTAAGATACATGATTCTATGTCTTGATTCCACTTCATTAGCTAGGCTTCTGTGCTCAGACCTTCTCGTCTGCACGTAGGAAAAACAAAGTCTCGTGATCCTTTCAGTAAGGGTTCATAGGGTTTTTAAGGGTTCTATAAGGGGCATTACCGGAGTTCAGTATAGCTGCCTTAATCCCAGAG